GTTTACACTATAGCCGGTCTCATCCTTTGGTTCCAGCATTGGACTTGAACATCTCCAGTAGTCAGAAATACAAACAGTCCTCATCCTCATAAATTCTAAGTCTAGTAGAGGGCACAGCCCAAAATGAACAATTATGTAGTTATATAACAGCATAATAAATGGCATAATAGAAGCTGACTTGAGAGTGAAGAGTAACAAAGAACTAATTCACCTTGGGGAGGCCAGCCAGGTTTCACCCACGCAATTTATCTGTGATGAATCTTACAAGATATAACTTTTCTTGTCAGGTGAAGAAGTTGGGATGGGCATATTTGATCAAAAAAGGAACAGCCAACAGAGTTACAGAGGCTGGAAGGAGCCCAGCTCGTTTGGAAAATGTTGGTAGCTGTAACATAGCTTGAGCAGTGCAAGGAAAGGTGGCAGCTTGGCAAAGAAAGTAGGCTGTGGATCCTACAAAGCAATGCCAAGCTCTTCACAACTATCCTGAAGTTAAAGAGAGAGTATGAAGATTCCTAAAAGAAGAGAAACATAATCAGATTGGGGTTAGTAAATTTCTGTGCTGGTACTATATGGATGGAAAAGAGCAAAACTATTTGCCAAGCCTCATGAACAGAATGAGGAAGTAAACTCTCTTTGAGACATGAAATTTAAAACCACAGCAATAGAGTCCAATATTATCTTAATATTTAAAATGCAAACCCCCCCAAAAAGGTAACTAAATGCTCTCCTTGGTATTCTGAATATAACTAAGTAATTTTTCAGTTGCCCAATGATTTTCTATTTATTTATATTTTCTTTATGTTTATTTCACTCTGAAGTACCATTGCATAGACACGCAAGTTCAGAAGCCAGGCTTGCCTTTTAGTCAAAACAACAGAGAAGTGAAAAGATCAAACCAAGAAAACTTGTCTTGTTTTGTTTTTAGTGTGAATGGCTAGAAAGGCAAAGTGTATATTGTCTTAAAAGAATTGCACTATCAATCTCTACAAATGTTTCTGTTCTTGTGAAAAATCAGTGCACATTACTCAACATATGTGCCCATCAATCTCTACCAGCTTGAGATAAGGGTAAGTCTGATAAAATTTCCCAAAAGAATAATATGCGCTAAAATGTCACTTCCTAAAACTGAGGATTTTAATTCACAAAGGTAAATTTAAAGCACAAATTTGGAATTAAACAAAACAAAAACAGAGTCAATATGCAATATATTTTGGAAGTAAGCTGTATTAACAGTGTTTCATAGATTTTTTTTTCCTGAAGTTATTAGGTATTCAAATAATGTTTAGTGCTTTTTTTGTTATAAGTGGATTGCATGCTTATAGTACAACACTCACAATTAAAGTATAAAGGAGAAAATAAAAACCTATTCATAAAGGCCAGACCCAGCAATATCCACCATAAATATTTTATATAATCCTTCCATTCACACACATATATAATATTAGATATTTATCACTTATTTCTATTCATTTAAATTATGCCATGAGCATTTTCCTATAATATTCAATATTCTCTGAAAATATACTTTAATAGCCTTATAATATCACACCATATTTCTAGTCCACAAATTATGTAACTGTTGACTTACAACTGAGCATTTTGGTTGCTTCCAATTTTCTATATTTTAAGAATTCTGCAATGTTCAATCTTGAACATAAATCATTCTTCACATTTCTACATCTCTTGTGATTTCCTGAGGGCAAAATCTTAGACTCGGAATTGTTGGGTCAAAGTATAAGCTACATTTCTGAAACTTTTGCCACTTACTGCCAAATTACTTCAGGGGCAGCTTTTGCTAATTTGTAGTTGCACTAGGAGTGACAGTCAAAACAGGGTATATAATTAACTTTACTTTCCCTTATTAAATGTAAAGGCGGGTGCTTTCATAATATTTACTGGACAATTATATTCTGTGAATTTTTTCCCCATGTCCTGTTACAAGTTTCCTATTGGAATGTTTGTCTTGTTTGTCTTCTTCCTCTTTTAAATTGAGGGAGGAGGGGAGTTTTCTTATAGATACTTTGGGTTGCTCAGGAATGCCCCTGAAGTTGGATATTTGGGCTTTCCTTTATCTTTGTATGCTGGTTAGGGTGTCTGGTTTAGACTCTAGAACATGTTGCCTGTGGAAACCTATTAAGGACACCTTGGTTAAGATCAAGGTCACCAAGCACATGATAACCAACTCATGTCCATATTTTAGTATCCTTGTCATATGTGTTTGCACTATTTTCCCCATATTTTGTTTGCTTTATCTTATCTTCCTTGAAACAAAAATATACTTTATATTCCAGTGTAATAAAATTAATATTTCATTTACAATATATGCCTAAATTTTTTTTTCTTGCACAAATTATAGCTATATGTATTAAATATGTAGATCTCAAGTAAATGAAATAATCACAAATTCACTAATGTTTCTAATATAACTGTTTTAGCTTTACTTTGTAGTGTTTGCTTTATTTAAATAGTATTTACATTTGGGGTTCACTTTAACTGTAAAAATGCCTTTCCTTGAAAAATACTTAAACATCTTTTTTATCACCAAGCTTCACTGATTATATTTACTGCCATATTTAAGATCTTTGCTTGGCTCAAGCCTGTAATCCCAGCACTTTGGGAGGCCGAGGCAGGTGGATCACGAGGTCAAGAGATCGAGACCATCCTGGTCAACATGGTGAAACCCCGTCTCTACTAAAAATTACAAAAAATTAGCTGGGCATGGTGGCGCGTGCCTGTAATCCCAGCTACTCAGGAGGCTGAGGCAGGAGAATTGCCTGAACCCAGGGGGGCGGAGGTTGCGGTGAGCCGAGATTGCGCCATTGCACTCCAGCCTGGGTAACAAGAGCGAAACTCCGTCTCAAAAAAAAAAAAAAGATCTTTGCTGATGGTTTTTGGAAACTGTCCTTAAACTAAAAGGAAAGTGGCAGTGCTGGTAAAGATATAATCAGGGAGTGGGATTCTTTCCCTCCTCACTGTAGCTAGTTTTCCCCCTAAGTGTGAAAAATTTAAAAGATCACACAAATTTGGCACTGCAAAGATTATATTCATTCTGAGGACCTCTCCTACTTATGTTGAAATTCATGTTATTCTTACTAACATTTCTTACCAACTGGTACCTTAGCTAAATTATGCTGAAGAGTTTTGCTTAATCCATGTTTGTGGTTGTTTTATTAGACATCCTATATTAACTTGAAAGTAAATTTCACCTAGTTTTAGTTGCTTATCTCTGAAGAATTAGTGTAAGAGTGTGTTCATTTTGGCCAGGCGTGATGGCTCTCACCTGTAGTCCCAGCACTTTGTGGTCCCAGCACTTTGTAGTCCCAGCACTTTGGGAGGCCAAGGTGGGCGGATCACCTGAGGTAGGGAATTCAAGATCAGCCTGACCAACATGGAGAAACCCTGTCTCTACTGAATACACAAAAAAGTAGCCAGGAGTGGTGGCACCTGCCTGTAATCCCAGCTATTTGGGAGGCTGAGGCAGGAGAATCACTTGAATCTGGAAGCGGAGGTTGCAGGGAGCTGAGATCATGCCTTTGTACTCTAGTCTGGGCAACAAGAGCAAAACTTCATCTCAAAACAATTAAAAATTTTTTTTAAAAAAGAGTGTGTTCATTTTGAGAGCAGAACATTCTCAATTTGCCCCCTACCTTATACTTAAATTATGCCTTTCCAGGGTTATTCCTTTTAGTTCTATTGATTAACCTAACCACTTTTGAATAATACTTTAAATAGCTGATGAGCTAAATGCCCCTTCATTTTTTTAATTTATCTATTTCTTTCAGTTTACTCTTAAAATCTATAATTTTGAAAAGTAATTAATATCCCTAAGGGGTACGTATTGCAATATATAAATTAACTTACAAAAAACAACAAATACCTCTTTACATTATGGAGTCTTCTTATGTAGGAATACATATTCAAATATTCCCTGGATAAATTTTGACAGACCTCAACATTGGTCTTATATTTTTTTCAACAGCAAAATTGGTCACTTTTAGTTAAAATAAGTGTTACAAATGATTGTGATAAATTTCATGAGTATACAGGAAAGTAACATGTTTACTTTATATGTAAATCCACATACAAATTTAGTTGATTAGATGCTAATAACAGAACTGGCAAAACTGAGAACTTGGTGTTATGCATATTTTAAATGTTTACAACCTGAAATCCAAAACATGAAACTCAGTCCCTTTAGTGTGAATTTAAGAAAATTAAATATATACCTGAAACAGAACAATATAGAGCTTATAAACCATTCTAGTTGCCAAATATTTTTAAAAATGCTATGTGCCTACCAGGCGTGGTGGCTCATGCCTATAATCCCAGCACTTTGGGAGGCCAAAGCGGGCGGATCACAAGATCAGATCGAGACAATCCTGGCCCACATGGTGAAATCCCGTCTCTACTAAAAATACAAAAAATTAGCTGGGCGTGCTAGTGCATGCCTGTAGTCCCAGCTACTCTAGAGGCTGAAGCAGGAGAATTGTTTCAACCTGGGAAGTGGGGGTTGCAGTGAGCTGAGATCATGCCCACTGCACTCCAGCCTAGTGACAAAGCAAAACTCCGTACCCCCTCCAACTAAAAAAAAAATAAGCTATGAGCCTTTCATTCACAAAAATGCTAACGTGTGACTATTTTTATAAATGGTGCAAAGAGGAAACTATGGTGAGAATTTAAGTGGATATGAGAGACTAAGACATTATATTAACTGTTATACTAAAAGACATTGCCAGACAACCCCTTGGGTAACACTTGTTGAGATTCTGAATGTTTCTCTTCATACACTCTTAAATAACATTTTCTCCCATGACTCATGTTTAAAGTCTATGCATAACTTTGTTCCCTACACATAAAAAAAAAATTAGTTTTCACTTAGAATTAAAGTAGATGTTCCTTATTCTTGAAACCCAATCATACCCCCTATGAAGGCTGGCCACTCCCATTATTGACATCACAAAGGCCTCTTCTCATGTGGTGGGTCTGGCAGAGTAACTTTGAGTAGGAGTTGGGTAAAATAAGGCTGAGACCTAATGAACTGCATTCCCAGATGGTAAAGGCATTCTAAGTTGCAGGATGAGGTAGAAGGTCAGCACAAGATATAGATCATAAAGACCTTGTTGATAAAAGAGGCTACAGGTAAAAAGCCACCTAAAACCCACCAAAACCCAGATGGCCACAAGAGTGACCTCCAGTCATTCTCACTCCTACACTCTCCCCAGCACCATGACTGTTTACAAATGCCATGGCAGCATCAGGAAGTTACCCAATATGGTCTAAAAAGGGGAGGCATAAGTGATCCACCCTTTGTTTAGCAGATAATCAAGAAATAACCATAAAAATGGACAACCAGCTGCTCTTGGGACTGCTCTGTCTAAGGAGTGGCCATTCTTTTATTCTTTTACTTTATTCTGTGGACTCGCCCTGAATTCTTTCTTGTGCAAGATCCAAGAACCCTCTCTTAAGGTCTGGATACGGACCTGTTTCCTGTAACAGAGCTGTTGTTTGCTTCAATTCTAACAGCTGTACCACAGAAGTGGGGACACACCAGAATGTAAGCATACAAAACCAAACAACACTACAGGCATGGAAAAAAATCACAATGCTGAATTTGCACAAGGTAAAATGTCTACACTGTGTTTGCTGTCATAGTTGTGTCTTTGTTCTTTGTGTTCAGACCAGAGTAGAAATTTCTTGCTCCTTTTCTAAGGCAAGCTGCTGTTATGATTAAGCTGCTTAATGTTATATTGTAATGACTAATATTTACACATTTGTTCATTTCTCTACTGTAGAATCAATAAAATGACAGAATCTGTTGCCATGAACAAATTTCAATTTGTTCATCCTTGTCTCAACCCAGTTCCTTAGTCCATATGGAGTGCCCCAAATCTTAATAAGGGATGCACTTGGAATGGCAAAAGCTAAACTTCACAGTTGAACTAAAAGATAACAAGCCAACAGTCAGGCACAAGTTCTTCAAAGCCACGTGAATATTTACTTTGCCTTGATTATTTTTATTTTAATACTGGAAATGAGAAACCTTCCTTAGGAAAGCAAACAGCCACATACAGCTTTAAGACCAAGGGTCAGCCAGGGCAGTCTCTCCAACCTGTTCCCCACAAGGTCGACATTCCAGCCCCAGAGGAGTTTGAGGGGCATAGTCAGTGCTTAACAGGGACAATCAGGTGTGGAGTGTTGACTGCACACGCTTGTGAAGAGTCACAGCTTGTCACTGGTCACTGCTGGAAACTGCACTTAGTCATTGTGGATGCACCCCACCTTGGGGTTGAATGGGAATTTGTAGTAGATGCCATCTGTACAAATCACAATGATAGCATTTGACTCTGTTCCAAAGGCACACATGCATGGCAAACCTGAAGGAACCTGATAATTGGAAAAATTCCACTTGGAACTGAATTATTTTGGAAGAAAATTGGCTTTAGTGTGAATACTGAACTTTCTGGATTTTTAGCAGCCAAAAAAACAAAATGGGTACTGTGCCATGGTCATCGGATACTCAGATGAGGGAAGCTTCCTAATTGAACTCAATGCAATAAATATTTGCCATGTGTGATCTTTTTCATAATTCCTGGATAAAAGGCCCTGATGAAGTAGCAGATATTCTTATAAGGGTCTGCTTTTAAGATGAGGTGGCAATTCTTGTTCCCTACAGGTTGAGGGCCACCAGTTTAGGGCACCCTTGTGTGCAAGGAAGGCCTACAGGTGGCTTCTTGTTGCCGGCAAGAAACACAAGCTTCACACAACTCGTGTGTGATGGGGGAGGTCAGGAGAGAGCTGTTACTCTCTGCTGAAACACAAGACACAAAGGCCTTTAAAGTTAGAGCAGGTTTCCAAGACGTGTGACTGATGGGCACTGCATGTCCTCATAAATACCTTAATCAAGGAGCCTGAAACCACCACGATTCTATCTTGTGACAATTTGACCACCTTAACTTCTGTAGAAAATTATACTTCAATAACAGTCTTTTTCTGGTCATCCCTAATTGTCACTTTGCTGGGAGGCTATTTCAGCTTTTTCCCACTGGCCCCTAAATTAAAAACAGCTACGGTGAAATAACATTTCGACACGGCCAACTCCTTCTTCTAGAAATTCTTGTTTTTCTTTCTTTCTCTTTTTTCTACTGGATTGGCATTGTAGATTTAGAATCCAGTTTCCATTCCATATATAAGTACCTGTGCTTGCAGGGGTAGTGCCATTGGTTGCAGTGTGGGTTACACAGTAAGAGCTTCATGATGCCACACAGGTGGTTCCCCTGCTCCTAAGCCCCACCTGCTGCTAGGGGAGACCCAGAGGCTGGATCAGGCAGGGATTTGCCAGGGCAGGAAGTGATGGGTGGAAGTTTGTGATCTCAAGGGAGCCAGTGGAGCACCCAGCAGGCATACACCCAGCACTCTGCAGGCAGGCGCTAAGGGGTTTTTGTTACTATTGCTTTTAGATATGTTATATATTAGATAAGTAAATTTTAGAGATATGAAAATTCTTCAGAAATTAAGATGATTTGATGCAAGGCAATTTTACTCGGATTTTTTTTTTAGATTGTGCCAGACTGATCATAAAGTTCATTTGAAAGAAGAATTGTTTTGAGACTAATGTAAGAAAATGTAAAAAGGAAAATTTAAAGGAAATGTAAAAAAAAAAAATTAAAAATAAACATGACAAAGGAGTACTTGCCCTACAAGGTAATAAAATGCTTTATATAAAGCACCAGTAATTGATATGATGTGATACTGGTGTAGGAAGAGACAGAATAATGAAATGAGCAGAAAGTCAAGAAATAGACCTATGTACATATAAATAATTTGGTATATAATAAAGGTGACATGAGATCTGTAGGGAAAGACTGGATAACTAATAAATGGTAATAATAGGTGCAACCAGCTAATCATTACACCAACATAATTTCCAAATTGTTCAAATACTTTAATATTTTTTTTAAATCCACCAAAAATATTTTTGGAAAGAACTTCATAAGCAAATATCACTAAATTTCAGAAACAATAAACATGTGATTGATATGGTTTGGTTCTGTCCCCACCCAAATCTCAACTTGAATTGTGTCTCCCAAAATTCTGATTTGTTGTGAGAGGAACCCAGGGGGAGGTAACTCAATAATGGGGGCTGGTCTTTCCTGTGCTATTCTTGTGGTAGCAAATAAGCCTCATGAGATCTGATAGTTTTTATCAGGGGTTTCCACTTTTGCTTCTTCCACATTTTTTCTCTTGCTGCCACCATGTAAGAAGTGCCTTTTATCTTCCACCATAATTCTGAGGCTTCCCCAGCCATATGGAACTGTAAGTCCAATTAAACCTTGTTTTGTTCACAGTTTCAGGTATGCCATAATCAGCAGCATGAAAATGAACTAACAGAGTGATAATTTTGACTGGAAACAAAAAAAAACCTCAGAAACAAAATTTAATGAAGAAAGGGAGAAATATCTTTAAAATAATGCTCATTATATATGTATGTACACATATATATTTTCTGAAATCTAATAAAAAAGATGAAAAAAAAGAATTCAGTATATCATGAAAAAGTTATATAAATGGCCAAGAAGATGAGAAAGTCTTTACACACACGTGACAGAGATTTAATAGTCTTAATGTAGAGAAACATTTCTTAAATTAATTAAGAAAAAAGATGAAGAAAGAAGGAATATGTGGCAATGAAAATATATAGTCAATAATCATATTAAAATTTTCAACTTCAGTATTAGTCAAAGAATACAAATGAACAAGTTTTCACCAACCAAACTGACAAAGATTTTAAGATACAATAATAAATAATGTTTTAACACCATAATTGCTATCATGTTTCTGGAAGGAAATTTGGAGTGTTCTTCAAAAGCTTTAAAAAGAGCAATGCAGCTGGGCATGGTGGTTCACACCTGTAATCCCAGCACTTCGGGAGGCCGAGGTGGGTGGATCACGAAGTCAGACGATTGAGACCATCCTGGCTAACATGATGAAACCCTATCTCTACTAAAAATACAAAAAATTAGCCAGGCATGGTGGCACATGCCTATAGTCCCAGCTACTCAGGAGGCTGAGGCAGAAGAATCACTGAACCTGAGTGAGCTGAGATTGTGCCACTGCACTCCAGCCTGGGCAAGAGAGCAAGACCTCCATCTCAAAAAACCAAAAGCAAAAAAGAGCAATGCTTTTTGAGATGACAGCTTTCCATCTAGGAAGTTATGCAATGGAAGTAGCTATAAATCAGTTTACAGATTTCTTTACATAAATGGACATCTCATTATAGTTTAGAAGATTATTCTTTAAAGCCATTCTACAAGGAATATTTTTGACAGAGGGGTAGTCACATATTGGTTTTATGTAATATCAGTTTATAAAACAGAATATACATATGATAATATTTTATACATAATGTTTTTGGCACTAATAATACACCTTCCTAGTGAGAATGCGTTCTGTTTTAAAGTCAAGGACGTGCAAGAGTGGAAAACAGTGGTGGGCTTCCTCTCAGAAATGAAAGATGATTCTGTAAACATTCCTGATTCTAATAACCATCTACAAAGGAGTTAGGGAATAAAGGTTAAGGACTGCATTTTCAATGATATTTAAAAGCCTCAGAACTTTTATCACTTATCCATTTCAAAAATTACCTAGCTTTTCCCCCATTGTAATCAATCATTTAACAAATATTTGTTCACTTATTATGTGCCAGGTACTATTTCAAGTACTAAAATCATTGCTGTCCTGTAGTATATTCAGATACCCCATGATAGATATAAAACAAATAAATGTGTCAGTGGTGATAAGTGCTGTGAAAAAAGACAGAGTGAAGAAACCTAAAGGAAGTGAGAGAGTGGCTTATGCTGGGTTCAGGACAAAATGAGGAGCATCGCAAGCAGAGATGAAGGTAAGAGCAATGGTCCCGAGTCAAGAGTGTGTATGGTGGGGTGGGCACAGCAAGGAGATAAAAGAAGCTAGAATGGAATGAGCCAATGGAAGAATGTAAGAGACAAAATTTAAGAGGTAACCAGGGGCTAGATGATATAGTGAAATGGGGACTATTGAGGAAATTCTTAAATTATAAAACTTTATATCCAAATCCTACAAGAAAGCAAGGAGCTGGACAGACTACAGTTTTTCAGCAATCTCAAAGGAGGTTAATCCCCAAGGAAATGACGACAAAAAGTGAGCAAAACAGGGAAAATTACCAAGGTCTATTGACCAGTATGAATGATATACAGAAACAATTTTAAGCTAAGAAGGTGGGGCTGGGATTTCCTGGAGACCCAAAATGGGTCAGAAATAATTTGCATTGTGTGTGTGTGTGTGTGTGTGTGTGTGTGTGTGTGTGTGTGTGAAAGTACATTCCTAAAAATATGTTAGAAAATGTCAGTGGGTATCCTCATTGGGTAACCAAGCATGAAAATGACTGTATCTGCTTTTAGCTATTTCTGCAATTAGTTTCCTTTCAAAAAATATGCATGTAGAGACTTAAAACTATAGCAGAAATCAGTAACTTGAATTGTTCTGCTGGACTCAGAAATGATCCAGATTATTTGGCAGCTTGATTTCCTTGTTTGCATTACATTTGCATTTTAATACAGTGTCAATAGACATGACTATCTTCTTCAAACATTTTATTCCTTTCCTTTACAGAGCTATTACTCTGATCAGAGGATAAAATAACTTAAAAACGAGCCTCTGATGGAAATCAGGCCAACCGATTGAAATAAATTTAAATAGAAATCCTACTTCAACACATATGTGTAGTAGAGTGAGATAATATACTCCTGCTGTTTCAGAAAAGATGAATCACTACAAATGCTGCCTAAGAAGAGAAGAAACTTCAAAATATTGGCATCTGAAAAACACAGCTTAACCAAGGAGGGAAAACTACATACTATATAGATGTACTGTCCTTTAAACTACAGATACCTTAAGAGGATTACATTATCTGTTACTGGTAAGACATTATTGTGGATGCATTCTGTGACAGACTGTGCTAGAGACTAGGATAATTCAGTCTAGTGGGGAAGAATGATAAGAGACCTAACTATATTACAAATGGGATGAAAGAAGGCACACAGTGGTGGGGGCAGGTATTTTAGGAGCACAGAAAAGACTGGAAAACTGGGAAACTTTTGAAAGCGATGTTGAAGATTCTTGGAAAAGAATCAACAGTTCCCATTTTCAGTATGAACTTGGCTACTAACTAACTAAACTGTAATTTGAAAGATAATGGGAAGTGTGTATGAAAGGAATGGACAGGAAGAATAGATAATATGAAAGAGAGGAATGCTTAACACAAACTACGCAGAAAAGACTGAAAGCTCCTAGGAGTATGACTGTTGCCTTTTGACCAGCTATGCCTGGGGTGCTACTTATCAAGGGTTTTTTGAATGTAAGAGAACAATGCTGGCAATTTTAATGTCTTTTCTGCAAATCCACCACTGTCTATGGACTTTTCCAGCTCCCCGCCAACAATTTTTGAAAGCAAAGGTTGATCTAATCCATTGATTCTCAAGGCATGATCCCAGAATCTCCTGCAACAATCACTCAGGGTTCTTACTCAAATGCTTACCTCATTGTTGCCTAATCAAAATACCTGGGGCTGGAGTCTGGAGATCTTTATTGTCACCCCTTTTCTAGGTGATTGTTTTGTACTAACTCATTGAACTGGTTTGTTTACCCATTCCAGCATCCTTGCAATCCAGAGAACTAGGAACCACACTTGCACCCCCAGACAAGAAATACTATGGTGGCTGAAATCCCAATTGAGTGGGTTTTCCCTTTTTTTTGTGGTGTAAGTCTCCCATCTCTGATCCAACTCATTTGTGTTTAAACTTTATTTAGTGTTTGCAGATATAACATAGAGAAATTTTTATGTTGTTAAGAAAGTAGGAAGTGAATTTGTGCATACGGTAATACTTGGATCTTATCTGTGAGGCAAAAATATTCATGAAAAATTCCTGAAAGAAAATAAAACCAAATATTAGCCATTTGTGCCTTCATGAGGTAAGATGATTGTTGATTTTATTCATCTTTCTCTTTTTCCAGTTTGCATCCTCTCAAATAAGAACATATTTTATCATGAAAAATAACACAGTAACATCATTTAACATGGGATAAAATTAAAATAGAAATGCCTAGAGCTGTAAGTGACCTGCAGAGAGCTTTCAAAGCCTTTGATGAATTGTATTTTAAAGCATATTTAACAATCTTTTTGGCTCTTGCCTCCCAGATGGTATGGATATTCTCAATAATCTCTGACTCTATTTGATATCTGAAGATGTCCTTTGATCGTCAACCTTTGCCCTGCTTTTCCTGAAAACATTAAGTCATCAGAAACTGCCTCAGGAACACAAAGGGTTTGGAAGGTTTAAGTTTGAGGGATCAATGGAAACTACAGGTGATAACAACCTGTGTCGTAATTTTTTATGATATTATAGCATATATATTTCTCATGTTACTAAATAGATTTTAGAAAAATCATTGAACCAAAAGGTCCCTGACACTAAAATCATCACAGCATTGATGTGCTTTGTTCAGATTACGAATCCACATCAAATCACTCAAAATGTATGTTTTTGGTCTCATGACACATTCAGTTTTTTTTTTTTAGGTTTCATTTTGTTTTTAATTGACACGAAATAATTGAGTATATTTTTGGCATACAGTGTGATGTTTTGATTTATTTATATATTGTACGATGATCAAATTAGGGTAATTAGCATATCCATCACTTCAAACACTTGTCATTTCTTTGTGGTGAGAACATTCAAAATCCTCTATTCTAGCTATTTTGAAATAAACAATACCTTATTATTAACTATAGTTATACTAATGTGCAATAAAACATCAGAATTTATTCATCCTATCTCACTGTAACTCTCTTTTAACCAACCTTTTTCCATCCCCCTCTCCCCACTACCCTTCCCAGCCTCTGGTAACCACTATTCTACTCCCTACTTCTATGAGGCTCTGCTCACCATCTCCTCAATTTCCTCCTCCTCTAATCTCATTGTCCTGTTCTATAATTAGTCACACTTAGGGAAAGCAGTGATAAGGGGCAACATATGTTTAGATGAAAAAAACCTACTTTGAGTCCTCATGAAGATATCGCTCTCAAGGCTTGTGGTTCATATGAAAGAGTTTATGAGAAAATAATCAATAATATCAACTTTTTAAACAGAAAACGTGTAATAACAGATGAGTTTGACCAAATGTTTGTGAAAGTACCAATTCAAGTACTCTTCTTATTCCCCTGCCCACCTTATAAGATATTGTCCCTGCAGATCCTGTTTAATATAGAGAAAATAAACATCCATCAGGCTTGGATAATCTTAGGAAACTCTTATAGAACAAAGTGTCAAAATATTTGCAGTTGAATTTGAACCCTCAACAGGGTACTGATATATCACCTGACAATCTCTCCATTTTCTTCCTCAATAAATCAGATGGCATCCAAATGCTAGATAAATTCTAAACTTAGAGAAAGAGGAAGGCAAAATAGTCTGAGAAAATGAAATAGCGATTAACTACTGGGAATACACAGGAAAACACTGGATGACAGAAGGCTCTAATAGTGCCCAATCCTGGACACCAGGAATAACAGCCACAGAAAAGTTTCCTGCTCTTCTAGCAGCTTATTATAGTTCCTCCAATTTTAGTTAAACCCCTCTTAATAAAACTCCTTATGCAGTTTTTATATTATAATTTTCTATTTATTTCATATAGTAACATATCTTTACATCAATTTCTAAAATATTTCATTTTTGATTTTAGAAAAGATAAAGCTGATTCCTAAAACAAGAGTATAAAATGGCACTCTTCCTAACTCTGAGTTCAGTTATATCATGTTATCTTGAAATCAGCCACAGTGAGAGCACTTTAAACTATGAAAATAAGCCATTACTACGCATCAGAACTCTCACCCTCAGCTTCCACGTGGCTTAGCTGACCAGACTACCACTGTTTGTACAGTTCCACGTTTGACGAAAGCATGGACATCATCTGATAACCATGATCCCGTGGTCTGGGACTTAGCACAGACGTCCTTATTTGGTTCCCGCTGGCAGCATGATCTAGGTACAACATTGCAGCTTGGAAAGACAAGAGAAAGCCAAATTTCCCACTTATGAGAATTCCAAAGTATAACTCGAAGAATACCCTCCTCCTATGTTAATTCAGAGGAACAAGAAGACAAAGGTGAAGAAGAATACAGATGAGGAAGAAGTGATAACAAAAAGAAGAAATGGGAGAGAAAAATAAAGAGAATGAAAAAATGGCTTGTTCTGTTGTTTCCACAGTGGTCTAAATGTGTGGCCATTATTCATTCTTTGTTTCAGAGGGACTTACACTGTGAATTTTATTTATCTGTTTCTCTTTTTTATAATGGTGTTAGAGTATCCTACAGCATGCCTAATTATTAGAACAGACAAATGCTGGACCACACTTAGCTTCTATACCTCCAAATCTAAGACTGTTCAGTCCCTTGATGCCCTAATGCAATTAATGAGATGTAATAAAACATTCTACATCCAAGAATCAAGGGAAACAAATAAGGGATTCTCAGATACAAAAGAAGCAGCCATAGACAAATCAAGATTAGGGAAAAGATATTGAACTTGAATCATTCTTTTTGGAGAAACCCAAGAATTTAGATTAGACTCATTAAAAAGGTGCTTTTTGATATATTAAATTTCTTATGAAACTGCTAACAGTTATAATTTCTCAAGGACCCTTAGATATAGTTTATCTCAGTTGAGTACTAGTCAAAAACTCCTATCTTTTTAAAGTATATTCTCTTGAAACTTTTAAATATCAGAAACATAGCCAAAAATCAAAAATTCTCTCAGGCAGTTCAGACTAGATGGTTTCAGAAATTATATCAATGGCACAGAACATACTCTGTAGTCCCAAGATACAAAGTGATTTCTGTAAGTGCATGTGTATTTCGTTGGTGTATCGTGGGTATCCCTGCAAATCATAACAAAAGGGAGGTGAAGCTGAAATATGTGTATTATAATTTGCAGTTTGCTTCATGTTTCCAGTGTGTTTCTGCTTTGATATTCTGCTCAAACAAGCAAAAATAAGGAATTCTCAGTTGCTCTTGGTAATACCACAGACATTTTTCTAGTAAAAACAGAATCAAAAAACATAAAATGAAAGTCTCCAGTCGGACAGGGATCTTGGTCTATTTTGTTTACTAATATATACCTGGTGTTTAGAATAGTGCTTGGGAGAGTAGACAGTAAATAAATATTTGTTGAATATTAAACAAATAAATAGAAATTTCAGATTAATGATTTCTACTAGTTTTCTGTAGGTTCCATTGTAGTTTGATTGAACCCACATGATTGTATTTTCCCTTTCTATTTTCCATGTAAAATGTAAATTTCTGTCACAGAGAAGCAAAAGAAATCTTTGAAACTTCATAGTTCCAATTCATGTTTTAACATTCTGCAAATTAAAGCCTCTTCTTCATAAGAACCCCTTCTCACCTAAAAAGTACATCATGTCAGAAAATCCCTTAACTAAGGAACATATCCAAGTAAAATTATATCGAGGCCAATTTATATTTACAATCTTGCTTATTAAAATTTGTATTTATGCTACTTATTTCTGCCACATTTTTTTCTATTTAAAAAAGCACAGCCAATCAAAACCAGAAATAAAGACAAACTGGTTTGAAGGGAATAGCCCATGCCCTTTTACTAAGTACCGGAACTTAGTTGAGATTTTCAGCATTCTCGAGAAGCTGTGAATACATGAAACACAAAGACGCAATCATTTCTTAAAGGAAGAAAAGACAGAGATGAAGAGCAGAAGAAATACCATATCTATTCTGGAAATCTATTAAGAAATATTTTGTTGAAACTAGTTAATGAATACTTTGGGAATATACATATTTGAGAAGGAGAATCAATTACCGTTGTCAATCCAAATCTTAACTGTACAGGTAATTAATGCTAATTAGTTCAGCACACTTTCTATTAAATTAAACGAACAAGTGATTTCATTTAAACTAAACATGCCCATAGATGTCTATAAATGCAAGTATGTAAAAAAAAAGATTTCTAACGTTAATTTTCAGGAAGATCAAAATATATGAAATTAGGCCTTTCTATTTTGAAAATTAAATTCTAAACTTCCATTTCCACATCAAGAAATTAAGAACTTTCTCACCCAAAAATACAGAAATCTGACTTTGAAAGTGCCCAAGTTTCCAACTTTATCATTAAAAAAATTTTATAGTTTTAGGTAACAAAGTTTCTTAAATTCCTTTATATAAATTCTTTAGATTTATGTTTCCCTAATTTGGCTGTGCAGTAGATTCTCTTGCAGAGCTTTTTAAAAATACAGTTCTCCACTTTGGGAGGTCGAGGTGGGCAGATCATGAGGTCAAGAGATCGAGATCATCTTGGCCAACGTGGTAAAACCCCTCTCCACTAAAAATATAAAAATTAGCCAGGCGTAATAGTGCACATCTGTAGTCTCAGTTACTTGGGAGGCTGAGGCAGGAAAATCGTTTGAACCCAGGAGGCAGAGGTTGCAGTGAGCCAAGATCGCACCACTGCACTTCAGCCTGGTGACAGAGCAAGACTCTGTCTCAAAAAATAAAAATAAAATACAGTTCTCAGGATTTCTGCCTAGATCTACAGAGTCAGAACGTATACAGAAGGAGCCCAAGAATCCTAGTTTCTTTAAATTTTTTTTCCAAGTGATTCTGATTCGTAAACAAGTTTGTGAATAAAACATTCTAGATATGTAAGTATCTCCCACCATCACTCCCTGTCTCCACTCTCATTCTTCCATATTTTCCAAGAAGCAATTCTACATAAAAAACCCATTATCAAATTTGGAAAGTATTTGTGTGATGTAACCTATAATTCACAATGAATATACAAATTCACTCTTGAGGGCCCTGTGAGCTATGCGAAGATGATTTTCCATTTTCCATACCTTGCCAATAAACCACCACCAACTAGGAGAGAAACAAGGGGCAGGGTCTCTTGCATAGCCCCCAAAAATATCAACCCTGCTGACACCCTGATCTTGGAACTATACGATTGTGAAACAGTAAATTTTTGTTACCTAAGCCAGCCAGGTATGGTACTTTGCTAAAACAGTATCAGGAAACTAATACTACATGGACCCATCACTGTAACTAGGTGAAAGCAATACCCTGATCAGGCTTGAGTCACATGCAGGTTACACCAGGAGTGGAATACTAGCATTGGGACAAGTTGAGGTGAGGGGTGATTCTCATGACAAGTTAGAGTTGGAGGATAAATGGGAACTGGGTAGAATAAACTTCAGCTGTCAACTACAGTTTTCATCTTTTCTTGATCTTAAGGGCGTGAAGGCTCACTTCACTTATAACATTGAAAATGACCATGGTTTCCTTCCCAAGGTGAATGAAGCAATGATAAGGTAAGATCCCTGGTAAATAATTACAATGGTATCTGAGTAATCAACTTATTTGATCAAAAAACAAATCTTCTACTTACTTTTCATAATATGTAAGGGAGGTTTTGCTATATTAATAAATTCAAAACAGACCAAAGTAGTAGATTGAACATATAAGAAATTGTATAGAAATTAAACTTTGGAATGGTATGTAAAGAAAAAATACCAAAAACAAAACTAGTTTTCAGGTTAAGACAAATTCTGTGCAGTACTATTATGTGAGAAGCATGGAATTGTGCTTTAGAGGAGAGCTGAAGACACCACTGGTATTAATGTATATGTTGAGATAATAATAAAGGTTGAGCCATTGGTATATATATTCATGAAATGGGCCATTAACATTGTTTGTCTTACATTTAACTCTGTAGGGGCTACTAATTTACAATTAAATTAAAAAAATCCACTAGGACTAATGAGCTAATAATTGCACAGAACTGAGCATGGATAAAAGTCACCAAGGGAGGACAAATTTCTATTTGTGAAAACTGAAACATTTGAGACTTTAATTACATCCTTTGCCAGAACTGACTTACAATCAGTTACGATGACTAGCTCATTAATGCTTTACTATGGATTTCAAAACAACCTGTTGAAATCCATTTCACTTGTCAAATGTGAATATACTTGAGAGCAGAAATTTTCTGGTGTCTGTTTCAATACAGCAGATTGTCTTTCTTCATTGAAATTGAAAGGGTTTTAACGAGTCCTATAACATAACGGACCTCTGGATTGTTAGAATTTTCATTTCAGTTTTAAAACTGAGTGGTGGGTGTATGTATTTCTAGAACAGAGGGAAAATAATAAATAAAATAATTTTTTTAAGTCTGCGTGAAGATAGTTGTGAGACTAGGCTCTGTGTAACGGAGACTTAAATGCTTGTTTTTCAAGTGTGAGAGCCCTGAGTTTTCCAAACAAAACCTTGAAAGAAGTGTCAGTTTCTCCCAGCATGATATTTGTTAATCAAATGTTCTGGAAAACATAGGAATACATGCACATATATACATGTATGTGTGTATATATATTCTCAAATTTAAAAATTTTCCAATCTACAGAAAATGGAAAGAATAGGTCAATGTACAACAGGACAGTGAACACCATTGTATCATTCACTTTAATTCCAGCATGTACATTTTGACTTGTTTTTATAAATGTTTAAATCTAATGTTTATATTTAATATTGACATTAGGAAATTTCAATTGGTAATTGAAATGGTGGGAATTTAGATGCTTTAGTTTATTTTCAATTTATTCCTATACATATTCTAAAACAATGGTTATGTATTGTATTGGTCTGAATGTCTCCCAAAATTCATATTATAGTTTGCATGTTCCCCAAAATTCATGTGCTAAAACTTAATTGCCAATGTGGTAATATTAAGAGGTAGGGACTTTAGGTGGTTAAATCCTGAGGGTGGAGCCTTCATGGATGGGATTAGCACCTTATAAAAAAGCTTGAGGAACTGAGTTACTTAATTCTGTCCCTTCTGCCCTATGAGGAAAGAGTGTTCCTCCTCTGAAGGACGCAGCAATGGGCACTATCTTGGAAGCTGAGAACAGTCCCCACCAGACACCAGACCAGCCAGTACCTTGATCTTGGACTTCCCACCTTCCAGAACTATGAGAAGTAATTTTCTGTTGTTTATAAGTTACCTGTTCTTAGGTGTTTTATTACAAACAGACTAATACAGCTTATATAAATAAAAAAAGCATGACATCCTGGAAAACCTTTCTTACCGGGTTATTTGGAAACAATTTCATTAGGGAACTATTCAAGGCTTCCTACATTTTATGTTAGATATTTAAATCTATATGTATCTATATTTAAATCTGTAAGTATCTCAGCAAAGTACAAAATACTCAGGTTGTTCCCTTATT